AAAAAAAATCGTTGCAAAAACCTACGTCATCCAAAACTCTAATCTTGCACGATACGGGAACCTGAGCTACGGATGTAAGTGATGTGAGAATCTGAAGTAAAGAAACACTATTGTACATTTGATTTGATTTCCACTACCAGTTCTAATGAAATAATGTATAGGACTAGAGAGTATGATAAGATGGGGACTCGGCACTACTATCAATCTAGAATCCAGTAACGCTCCTAATTAGAAGATGCTACTCAAGCCCAAGCTTAGCTCTTAGATCATTTCCTCCGAGGTAGAACAAGATTTCTTTATAGAAAGTCTATTTACAGAAGAGATGACATGACAAGGACGTCGTACGAAATTTGAAATCAACTATAACTAGAAGGAGTGGGATAAATGAGATAGCACATGGTAAGTTCAAAAGATCAAAGGAGGGGAGGAAACAAAGTTTACTAAAAGAGTTAGCCGAGCAGGAAGAAGGCTGCTGCCCAATATATTTACATCATGAGATTGCAAATATAGAGACCCGTTAAATGAGTAACAGAAATGAAAAGAGATAATAGGCAAATAAGGAAAGAGAAAAAGGAGGGGAAAGGGCAGGACGTTATGCAAGGCATAGCTGATCCATGTGGTCTGGAAACCACCAGCCGCTTGGTCTTTCGTGCTGCTTCCTCCTCTCTGGGGCGGGTCTTTGCTCTTTTTATAGTTGTTGAGGGGGAGGGGGCGGTGCCATGAAGTAAATACCAATAGCGCATTAGTATGATGAGGATTAGCGCTTTTCCTACACAGTAAAGAGGATTTTGCACTGCAGGAATATGCATGCTCACCTCTTTGATTTTGTCCACTTTTGCCAAAAGAGCCGATCCCATACCACAATGTATAGAAAAGGGTTTCGGACATCCCATATTGACATCTATAGCAGATACATCTGTACCTCTACAATATATAATCAAAAATGCAACAAATATAAATAGATGCTGTCACTTACATCATTTTCGCCACTTCAGCTGCACTGCTACCATTATTTGTTCCAATCTGGAGAACGCAGCGTTGTTGTTCTCGAGCCTTAGATATTCGTAAAACTATATCATCAACCATACAATAGTCTATAGTGTCGAGGACATCTGAAATGAAGTCCTGCTCAAATAAGCTAAATGAGGCCTTTCGTAGTTAGCATCATAAAGTGCCTTATATGCATAAAATATCTTTAGTCACCCACTATTAACAATTCGTTTACTAGTCAGAAGCTTCTGATCGATGATTTCTTCTGTGTATGCTAGATCCGCTCCATAATCTAAGGCAAGAACCCTGAATGCTCGAATACATTTTGGAAGGAAGCATGAAACCTTGAAGTTCTGAAGCTACGCCTACTAGTACGACCCGATGGGCGCTCTTCTAAACCATACCTGATCTTTATACCTAATTTCAGTATTTTATTAGAAACTCCTTAAGGGCCTTTTTGCTGAGCATGCTCCCTCATGAAATCAGTTCTCAGAAAAAGATATTATGGCGAAGTTTTCTATAAACACATGGGCAAAACTTTAACTTCATGTGCCAAGCCATTTCCTTTGTTGTAG